AGATAGATAATAAATAGAGGTTTACAGCGTGGTTGTAGGTGTTCTTTAATAAATACAGGAGCTGACTGACATTTTTTCCTTTCTGTAAATGTTCTCGCTCAGTCTCAATGTCATTTTGCACATTGATCACAAGCAAAACAGCAAAACAAAGCAAAAAAAAGGACATTACAGCCCATAAAGCATTTTTGCCCTACAGAGCCAATATTGAAGTGCATGTGCAGAAGCCATCTGAAAGCCACCCTTTGTTTTTGGTTCATACACTAGATGAGTATAATTACTTTAAACGAGCAGCTAAGTCCAGTATTCAGCTCCTGTAATACAGCAATGCTGCATATTTAACTCAACTGCTGTTGATACAAGATCTTATCCAAGAGATAATCAAATTCCACTCCGCAAAATCCTTTGACTCTAATACATCAACAAAAGGAAGCAAGAGTTTTGAACCTCGTTTTGTCCAAGTTTCAGATTTCTGTTCTGGAAGTTAGTGCAAATGTGTGCATTTTTTCAGACATAATGCCTAATTTGCATACTTAAACATAACATTTAAGAAAACTTGTAATACAAAAAATGATTGTCTCAATATAAATAATGAACTGGGTAAGATTCATGAGGATAGTTCAAATGTTTTGACCCTGTTCATCTGTTGTATATTGCCCGAAATTGCATTTTAAGCTGTTGATGTGTGGATTCCACCACAGTGGACAGCTGTGTATGTGGTCCAAAATATAATAATACAACAAATCCAAAATCTGAAATATTAAAGTGTTGATACTATTAAGACATTGGCCTGATTAATTTAATTTATTTGTTTATTTAGACGGGACAGTGTGTATTAATGTACAGTCTCAGGTTGTAGTAAATACGCTGGATTTAGCACAAGGCTAAGTTCCACCCAGTGTCCCACACACATAAAAGAGATTGTATGTATCTATTGGTTGACTTAATGTTGCTCCTCTCGCCAGCCTTTTAACTCAATTTGTAGTGACTCTTTCAGGGTCAGCAAGTGCTAAACTTGTTGGATTTGGCCAGTTCAACATGTGGAAGTTTCCAAAGAGTCCCATATTGTGTTTTCAGACTTACTGTAATAATTCCTGAGGGGACATTGTCTTGTAAACATATTCCTCATAATGTGAAAGTTGTAAAATGTCACTAAAAATGTGATACAATTCATGAAAACGCAGATGCAGAATCTGGAGTTTAACATATTCAAGATATCTTTTGGTTGTCCTGCTTTACTAAACCTAACAGCTGCAGTCAGGCTAAGCAGTCATACAAGTCTGGTTATCAACACTGAGTTTCCATACCTAGCTATGGACAGGTTTAGAACCACACAGGAAGAACAAACTGCCTAATCCAATAAAAGAAATGTATAAAAGGCAGCAGATTAACTCAGTAAGCTCAAATTCAGTCTCATTTTCATAGTGTGTAAGACAGTTTTTGTCCTGTTCTTTTTGCTGCAACCCTGGTGGGTTTAACAGTCTTAAGAATAAGCGCAGAACAAATATAAAATCATCATCTTCCAGGAATGATGATGCAATTCTCCAAGAGAACTGTTTGGTCAGGTGTTTCTTTTATTTATTTTTTAATAAGCCTTGATCTGTCATTTAACCTGCTGTGGAGTACATTAAGTGTGCAGCATAAGTTGCCATGACAACCACTGTCAAAGTCTTGAAAACCCAGAGTAATTGTGATTAAATACTATTTTTTAAAAAATGACTAGAGACCGTTGTGAGTTCTAGTGCTGTCTCATATGGAATCAGTTTACTAATTGTCTCTCTAATTATTTCCTCATAACTGGAGCAGAATGAAGGGTGAACCCAGGTAGTGTTTGGACTCATTTGTTCGGTTAAGGACCTCAGTCTCTCCTGCGTGTTTGATTAGTTTAGACAAGCCAGCAAGACCAAGTCCGGTGCTGCGTTAAAGCCAAGTCTGTGTCACACTAAACAGTTTTCTTCATTGTTTTTAAATGTCACATGTGATTTCACACGCACAAAGGGTGAGAAGACAACAACTTTATTTTTCAGTCCTTAAGTCCTAAAGCTCCAGTGTGCTGATTCTCCTTAATTAACAAGGAATCTGTGATCCTTTACAACTCCCCATCCCCACAGCTCTTCATGTTTGCTCCTGATTTAGGTGAAAACGAAATTAGTAAAGTGTTAAAAGAATAGTCCAACATTTTTGCAAAGTGAAACCAAGAGCGAATTTAGAAGACTTTTAACGAACTCACGTCTACGTATTTTCCCTGAACACGGTTTGTGTAGCTTAGCACGAAAACTGGAAACAATGGGTAATCGCGAAAGGCATGTCAGTCTGCTCGGACTTGTCATACAACATTCATGAGAGCGTGAGACAGAGATGATCTGATCTGATGAGACAAAAACTAAACAATTTGTACAGAACTCCAAGCACTATGTCATAAATCCCAACCACTGCTTATCATCTGGCTAATACCATCCCTTCAGTGAAGCATGGAGGTGGCAGCATCATGCTATGGGGGTGCTTCTCAGTAGCAGCAGCAGCAGCAGCAGGGACAGGGAACTGAAGGAAGGATGAATGGTCCTTGAGGACAACCAGGTCCAGAGTGCAGAGATCAGGGACAGAGATGATAATTCAGCTTTTGAGAAGAGTGAGCCAAAGCAAACAGCCAAGACAACAATAAAAGGGCATCAGGAAAAGTGTCTGACTGTCCTTGAATGGCCCGGCTACAGCTCAGACTTAACACTCTGAGCCACTGTTTAAAATGCACGTTTTCTGGGGGGAATAAAAACCCAACTTTCTAACTGTCCTTGAATGCATCATGTGACATGATTCTGTCCCAAAAAAATGCAAGTTGTCAGCAAGTTGATGGAAGTTGGTGAAATATCTTTCCAGAAGTGACGTGCAGAGTATTGTGAACAATGGCTCGTTTGTAAAGGTTATTAGGCAGTAAACAGGCCCTGTCAAATAGCCTGTTTATGGTATTTATTTTCAAGTATTGGCAACCCCTGTGGACACTTGTACACATGTTGTTTATGTTGATTTATTTATTTAGTTCTAATTTTTCTTCAACTAAATAATTCAAGGAACTTAACGTTCATTTTTGTCACTTGTTGCATGATTTATGGCTTTTATTACACTGCACAAAAGACAATCTCTCTCTGTTTCAGTACTGTTTCCATAGAGGTGCAGGATTTTATATTGCGGTGAAAATGAGTCCATAGTGAATAAAAATGTGACAAGAGCAAAAAAAAAATTGCCCAGAAACTGCTCGAGGGGCAAAAGGCTAAACCCCACAGGACATCTGTGTAGAAACCTAAAGAAGACGATTCACTGGTTCAAAAGGAATAAGTTACCTAAATTACACAGCTGTAGAGATTTAACCAACAAAAGTGGTACGTAGCTGGAACAACCGACAAAAGGGGCTTCTACAAGTCCTGAATTAAGGGTCTTATAACTTCTTTAAATGATAATTTTGCAGAAACAAAAAATCTAAAAACATGTTTTCCATTTGTCGTTTTGTTATTCAGGATAAGGTGAGAGGCAAAAACTATCGAATAATTAATAAATGTACAATAATGTTTCACTATTCATCAAGCATTTCAATATGTCCATCGTGTCTTCTACACTGCAAGAGTAAATGTTTACTTTTGCAGGACTTGTCGGTCCTATATGCTGGAGTTTCTTTTCCTTTCCCATGTTATGTGAGATTTTTGGAATGTTTAAAGTCTGTTTTGAACAAAGAAGTGATGTAAACATTAATCCTGCACATAGACATTAACATTATTTGTTCTGATTATCAATCAGTAAGTGGCTCATAATATTGCATATTTAATTTCCAAACAGGTTCAATGATGAGGAAGAATTGACTGTTTAAATTCTATAGTACATACATCAAACAAGAAAACTGCAACTGCCTACTGACAAAAATCCCAAAGACTTCTGGGTAATGAAGTCCTGCAGATTAAGAAAAAAAAATCTTGTTTTAATTAAAACATGCATGTAAAGTGAAGCTTCCAGTATCCCATAAACCCGCTTTTAAGGAGATAATTGTTAAAACCACTGACAGGTGAAGTGAGTGACACTGATCTTGTTGTTACAATGCAATGTTTTGCTGATTATTCCAGGCATTCATGTGGATGTTGCTTTAACACGTAGCACTCACCTAAACATTGTTGCAGACCGAACACAACCCAAACCCCAGCAGGACAATGCAGCCTGCCACAGCAGAAAAACTGGCCAGGAAATTATTTTATGAAACATTAATGTTGTGGCTGATCGGTAGGCCATATATTACTTGGCACTTTTAACTGCGGTAGCCTCGTGGTGACGCTATGGCGCCATCAAATGGTGGTCTAATGATATAAGGTCAAAACATGGCTGAAGACGAAGCTGTTTTCAATATTTGACTCATTTTTCCCGTCAACATGGATGTCTTGTGGTAGAAAACGCGAAAGGACTGAAATGCAGTGTCACTGGAAATACCAAGTTCATCAAATCTCAAGAATGGATATATCTATGAAAAAATAATCATCGCCTTAACTGCGCATGTGTCAAAATTTGGAGAAATCTATAAAAGCTTTGTGCTTTCATGCTCCTTATAATGTTGAGCATGGGTATTTCCTTAAGTATATAGAAAATTATTAAAAGTTAAATATTTAAGATAGTGTGAAATGGAAAATAAAGGCACAGAAATTTTAAATCCTGCATTCAGATGTTACATTTAACCCATAACAGTACCAATATGTAGTGGACAACCTCAAGAACTTGCTCAGAATTCCCTTTTAAGCTAGAGCAGAAAATGTAAACCAAAAGAAATACCTGTAGTTGAACTCATATTAGATTAATCATGTCATTTTCTACATTTTATTTCTATTTCAGGAGTGTTAATACAATATTTGGGATTTTTGCTCCAACAAAAGGCATTTAATCATGGTACCCAATTTTCACGTTTTAAGTCCTTCCACATAAAAATGTACAGGCTCATTTCAAGCAACAGAATAAGCCATCCACACACCACAATATGCAAAAATGTTCTGACTGTGCCAGTCCAGTCTTTATTCAGGAATCCAAAAATGACTACAGGGTTTCTCCCACTTCATGTCAGTACAGTGGTAATCTGATGTGCTAAACATGCTTTGCAATTCATGCAGCTATACAAGACTGAAACTGATGGTGTGAATTTAAGACGTACTCAAAGCCCGCCATGACCCTCTCCGCGTGCAAGCTATGGCTGTCCTTTGAATTGTACTGACAAGGGGAGGGGAGGGCGTCTTTCAAACTTGGAAGAGTCAAACCACTAACATCTAACACATGTACACCATCCACACTGGAGCAGCCAGCTAATACCTATAGTCTAGACAACATCAAAAAGGAAAAAAAAAGAAAAAAAAAAGCTCATGAACAAGCAAGAACTGAAAGAACAAAACTCAAATGCCCAGTAAGAGCTTTATTAAAACACCACATTAAACATGGAAATGCCACATAAGCAAGTTTCAACACAAACTGCAACTGCAAACTGCAGCACCAGAAAAACAAAGAAAGGCAAAACACAAAAAATGAGCTTCTCTGAAGCCACTTTTAAAAAATACCCCAGGTGAGTAAATGCAAGCTCAACCATAAAAATAACTCCTAAAGGTGTTCTAAACTATGACATTTAACCACTTGATGCCGACTTCGTCCTGAGATGGCACAACTTCCAAAGCACTTCAGGTTATACGGTCTTCTGCTGGCCCTTCTTTCCAATCAGGGACTTGTGGATGTGAGGGATCACACCTGGAAAGCAAGAAAAATGGATGAGCCTTAGCATCTGAGAAACTGTTTCAGCACAGATTATATGGAAGGCAATTTAAATGCAGTTTTTTTCAACTGTAAAGCAGGACAGACATTGAATAACTGCTCATTAGTTGCAGACCTAATCCAATTACTAGTAGACTCTAGGGTAAGTACAATAATATGAGTACCTTTACGCAGTTAACACTGGTGATACATGACATTATGAAACCTGAAAATCGTTCACTTTAACGTTATCAAAGTGCAGAAGAGGTTCCTTACCTCCACCAGCAATAGTGGCCTTAATAAGTGAATCCAGCTCTTCATCTCCTCTAATGGCCAGCTGCAAGTGGCGCGGGGTAATACGTTTCACCTTAAGATCCTTAGATGCGTTTCCTGCCAACTCCAGAACCTGAAACAAAGCCAGGTTTTAGATATGTGCATTGGGCGTAAGATTTTTAGCGAAGAAATGGAAGAAAAATGAGGTTAACGGTACCTCGGCAGTCAGGTATTCAAGAATAGCCGCACTGTAGACCGCTGCAGTGGCTCCCACTCTGCCGTGGCTGGTGGTTCTGGACTTGAGATGTCTGTGGATACGACCCACCGGGAACTGCGGGGATAGAGCATGAAAGCGGGCATGAGCGCAGAGAAACAAAGGGTTCAGTGGCCAGTCGATACGAGGCGGCCGCCAGCTGAGTAACCTCTGCGACGTCTGGTTGTTAGCTTGTGTTAGCAGCGTCGATGCAATGAATGAATTTCAGTCGACAAACCTGCAGTCCTGCTCTCTGCGAGCGAGAAATTGCCTTGGTTTTGGTCTTCCCGGAATCCTTACCAGCTTTACCACCAGCCTGGAAAACATAAATACTGTTTATGAGTATGCAGTTGCCGCATGTCGTTTTAAGTGATTTAATGCCCACTAAAAGGAGCGATTTTACCGCCGCTTTTAGCATTTTTAGCCATGCTAGCGCTTGCTCAATGCGGTCACCGCTGATAAGTTAGCTAGCATGCTAAGCTAGTATAGCAGCTAATGGTAGCGGCTAACTATTAGCTAATCAAGGAAAGACACTGGCGCCTATTTAATGTTTATTTTTCAACAAACCACTACCGTAATGTTGGTCGTTCTGATACACCACTAAAACGGCAGGTGATGCTTACCATGTTTAAAATTCTCGAGTAATTTCTGACGCCGGAGCACAAAATCGACTAACTCGCTGTGAGTAACGACTGTTGTTTGAACTACAATCCCCGCCTACAATTGTCCCTAATATATAAGTAGTCTCTATCCGGGTATCTGGAGGATGTGCACTAGCCAATCACACTCCGTTATGTGGTTTCTACTGTGACGTCCAACCAATGAACGCCTAAACCCCCCACTTTGCGGGAAAAAGTGGTCAATTTCTGTTGAAGCGCTTGTGGTTGTTGTAGTTCAGATGCTTTGATCGCCTTCTCCCATTGTCTTTTTCATAATAAAAGAAAAAGTTAGTATTGCATTTCAAAGTAGTGGTTTTGATAGGGGATGTATTCATTTGATTTAGAAACTAAGCTTACTCTCTAAAGTTGCTATGTCACCAACTAAAATTTAAAAAGTTAAAAAGAAGAAAATTGGGCCATGTTTGCTTAGACACTCTTTCATTTACCATTACAGGAAGCACAAAAGGAATATGCTCGATTTTATACATAACATACTGACCAACAATGAAAATACAATAAAAAAAAAAAAAAAAAAACAAGTCAAAAACAAGCTCCTTTATCTAAAATGTAAAGTCCTTAAAAAGAATATATATATATATATTTCAAATAAAAAAAAATAAGCATTGCTGCATTACTGCTTTTGATTCTGGAAGTTGCTGCTTTTTCTATCTTTTGGCATTTTCCAATATTTAAAAGTAACTTTGCCAGCACTCCTCCCTTGTATTAGACTACTGGATGTGCTGTAGCATACACACTAACGTGCCTGTGTGTTTACTCATGTATCTTGTGCAGACTTGAATATTTTTACCACTTCATGATTTCCTCATCCATCCATTGTCTAAACTGAGGGCCCAAACTAGACAGACAAGAATTGTGTTTCTGACTGTTGACAGTTTTACTGTTGTTGATGCAGTGACTGTAGTTCCTTATTGCCGCCACATACTGGCAGTGAAGACTCATGATCCTACATACAGTCTTGGCTCTGACCACAACAACAATTGTCAATTCTACAAAACTGTATTATAAACACAACCTTCACTGATAAACGATATTTAAAATTTTAAATGCAGAAAACAGCACTGTTATTAAACATTAATTTTGATTCTTGTTTTAGTGGTGACTTTTATTTGTACTGTTTTTGCAGTTCAATAGGCTGTCTTTACAATCTAACACTTTAAATGAGTGTAAACTTTTTAATCTAATTTCTGATCACATTGTGTGAAGTTCATTTATTTAACCAGTTCTAATACAGAAGATAGATTGGATTTTGGCATTACTGCTTTACAGGAAAGTGTTTTATTATTCATGCTATGGGAAACAGGCCACCCACAGTGAACTGGCACGAGCACATACATATTTAAATACCTGATTATTTTTTCACGTCAACTTAATTTGAAGACCACAGACCGGTTCAACATAAATAAAAAATGTGGCATTTGTTTTGGTCCATCCACTGCCCCAGATATCTTGTACGAAAAAAGGAAAAAAAAAATATGTGTATTCCATTTCTTTTGATCAATTCAGATTTGGGATTTGTGTTGTTTCCCATTTTGAAAAGCTGCTTTCAGATGCTTTGAAATGAAACCCTAAACTGAAGTGACTGATCTACAGATTTATGACTAATGGTTGGTTGGAGTGATTAAATAGTGATGAAGACAATACTTCATCTTTTGCTACAGACACTCCCTACCCTTAGTGTCACTCATTATTCCATTACTATTGTCATCAGTAATCCCCTTACCTTTTAGTTGCCTGCCTGACCCCTTAACTCAATCATCTTTGTTATTTGTAACTGTCTGCCAGACCCCTCATTCTCTTACCTTTTGTTGCCAATCAGACCCCTTCATTCAATCGCCTTTTGTTTGTAACTACATTCAAACCAATCACTGTTCTTTTCTGTATTTTTTTTAGCAATGGAAAGCCACCTGTGACCTGAATCAGTCCCAGTGGCTTCAAGGTGTTTGTGCTAAATTTGAAGAAACTAAGCTATACCAAATACTAGAGACTGTACAAACAAAACTGACTCCAGGTTGTTGGTGCAAGCAGCTTAATACCGCTCATAGATAGGTCTGACTGTTAAGCAACCTTTAGCAGTCTTTTCAGCAAATTCCCCAAAATACACATTTTTCCATTCAACTGACAGCATTTTGTAGATTCTGTAGCAATTATTAACAACAGAGGAAGTCAGGTGACATAACTATAGAACCACAAAGTTTGTGTAAGGAGGAGATTGGGGTTGATGAATGGGTCAACAAAATGGTCAGTGTTTTTCATTTCAAACTATGTTCTTTTATGCTGTGCTTATTTACAGCATAAAAGAAAAGTTAATTCAGCTTAGAAATTTAAGTTTCCCTGTTGCCTTAGAAATGTCCGTTAACTGCACTTCAAGTGATTAATTAGTTCAAAGCCATCTTATTTGTTGTGAAGTTTAAAACTTGCTGAGTTAAATCAACGTAACTTAAAAACAAGTTCAATAAGTTAAACCACTAGTCACATAAACAGTGGTTACAGACAAATTTTGCTTCTTTTTATATTTCCTGAGTTAAAAAGTTTCTTCTTCATTTAATATTGAGATTTTTCAGCTGATGCCATTTTTATCCAAGTCAGTACAAACATAATATTTGATCCTGCTCTTGGTTACAGTGTAATATATTATACGTCTACAGATGTAGGGACTGAATTCAGTATCAATTGCTGTCGTGAATGGTTCTGATTATTATGAAAAGGCACAATCATAACTTCATTTAACAAAGACAAACAGCAAGTTTCCAACTAGTCTGCTTTCTCAAATGACAAAAAACAAGCATTTGAACTTTCTCACAATGCATCCTGGGAAGTCTGCTGGTATATTAGTTCCATTTCTTATCAACATGAGTTGTATTATTTTAAGTGAACTCACTCATGCAGCTTATCATTTTAAGTCAAAGTGCCTGAAGTTGAAAAAGCTCATGTTTTTAAGTTCTAAAAATAAAAATCTGAAATTGAAATGAATCAACAAGACATGAGCAAAACTCATATATTCACTTTGAGTAAACTACAAAAGACAAGATGATTTGACTTAATTCCTTTATGAGGTTTTACAGTGTACTATATGTTTATTTTTGTAACCATGACAACAAAGGGCCTCTAACATTAATGAAAAACATATTTAAACTGCAAATATTCTCCTTCCCCTGACTTAATCAAGTTGCTGTTATGCCTAAACCCAATCAGTCCCTTGGCTGCAGCATCTGACAGTTTATCTATGGTATGTCCGCTGCCAACACTCCTATGTGCCACACTAAAGAGTAAAGCGGTTCAGATCGGAGGAGTCGTTGTAATCCCGATATCGGTAGCAGCTGGAGGAACGCTGACAGGAAACGAGAGAGATTTCAGTCTTCTGTTTTTTTCATCCCATTTTACTGCTGTGTTAATGTGTAACAGGCTCCAGTCAGGGAGTGTTTGTCAGAGCTTGATAAGACAATTTATGTGTGAGTGTGTGTGTGTATCTGAGACAACATGCACAGCTGGTGGTGGGCTGGTCACGTCTAAATCACATACCATTCATTCTCAGGCATGCTCCCCTTTCACCAGTCACTCACTCATTCTCTCCCCTGACCTCTACCTCTCTCATTCATTCTGAGAGTCAGTGTCAGTCGCCACTCACTCCGTGCAGCCCCTGTCACAGAGCTTTTAATGCTCTATTTCCGAAAGTTTGGAAGTCTTTTTCTTCTCCATGCCCCCTTCACCGTTCCTCCATCTGTCACAGTTTTCACCATGAGCTCCCCCACTTGAAGCTTTCCTGTCTTTAGTTTCCTCAGACATGACTGAAGATTTTTGCACAGATTCTCTGGACATTGGCTAAAAAATGTAGGTTTGGAGGTGAACCACAGTTGACAGTGAACCAGGAAGCAAAAGTACCACACCCAAATCAGAAATAACAGACGTACTGGTATTCTGAAACTGAAATTAACTGCAAATAGAACTGGATGAAAAAGCCTTTCTCTGTCTTTTGTGTTGTTTTGAATTACAACACATATCTTACTGTATAAAGAAAAATCGTCATTATGTTACAAACAAGTCTTTTTCAGCTTTTACATTTGCAAGATAATCAATGCATTGTTGGGTTTATGTTTAAAGGCAACACTTTAAAAAAAAAAAGTGGCACATTTATTTTATTATTTATTTATTTTAGCTACGTGGAGTTGGCAGGAGGTGATCAGGGCGGATGGTGGGGGCACAAAGCACAAAGAGTCTCACATCGGGGACCTGAGGTGTGCTTTCTGACTCACAAGTGTCGTTGAGTTCAGGCATCAACAGCACTTTAGTTAAGCTTAGGAAAAGATTGTGGGTTTGATTGCATGTAAATAAACTTATTATGTCCTCAGCCTGTGTGGGCTTTTTCAGAACTTAAGCAAACCACAATCACATCAGTTCTGGGTCCAGTTTTATTTCATCTCTGCAAGCTTCTATTAGGCCATATTAATCTCAAGGACAATATGTCATGATTTTGCAGATGATACTCAACTATACATGCAAACAGAGGTTCCAGTACTTTCTCAAACTCAAACAAAACTACAGAAATTGATTTATGCACTTCACAACATAGGCAAGAGATTCACACTCATTTTAACGTCTCTCAACAAAATCTACAGATCAACTTTGTTACAAGACAAGCCATTTATTATGTCAAAAATATCATAAATGTAAGAAACCTCTTGTCTACAGATGACCTTAAAAAAAAAAAAAAAAGAACATATTAGACTACTACTAAGATCTATTTTTTTAAAATACAGGATTGTACCAATGACAAA